CTTGATTTTATTAATATATTTAAACCAAATAAAATTAGTTACGGTACCGATTTTTGATGGAACTGGCCCGAGCTCAGTTGCATTCTTACTTAAGAGTAGAATTAGAAAAAAATGCAATATAGTGATGCTATTTATAAAGATGAAGTAAAAAAAAAAAGAACCTTACGGTAATATTTGATGTTTATATCTATTATATTGGTGTGGAATAAAAGAATGGATACCAAAATTTTATGCAAGCTTTTATCATTAAATTAATCAATCATATTCAAGAGGAATCAGAAAATTATTCTATTAAGGTCTCTATTAAGGCCATTGAAAGGCCATTTTTGCTTAATAATGAATTTAGGGGTTTTATTTTCATGAGATAAAATAGGGTACCTATTTCTATTAAGGTTGCTTAATAATGAATTTAAGGGTTTTATTTTCATGAGATAAAATAGGGTACCTATAAATGCAACAAATCTTTCTTTTTGACTCTAATGTTTGTATATAATTGCTTTAGTGCACTACCTTAAACACATCATTTGTTTTCATCCATTTGTTAAGAAACCTCGATGTTGTTGCAAGCAATACTAGTTGTTGAAGGCCTCATTTGCAACAACCTAGAGTGCTAAGCATGCAACAATGATTGAGTAACGAGTGAAAGGAACAACTCTATATCACTCCCCTTAGTCTATTGAAGTCAATGCATTTCATAGCTGCCATCATCTGTTTTTGCATACAAACTTGTATGTTTGCCTCAAACCAACAACCAGTTGACAACCTAGAATGCTGTTGTTGCTGGCTAGAAGATTGGCGGGGGTCGCAAACATCATTAGGTCGCTTTGGTTTAGAGGGGCATTATCTTTGTCAACTTGATCTGTCATGTTCTGACGCGGGAATTCGGATTCAACTAAGGCGTGAACGGTTGGTCGGATGTTGGGAATAAACTTTACTAAATAATAACACTCAAGTATAAAATGATCACTAATTCATAATACATAAGTAAATATCCTCTTAAAAGTATGGAAGATTATTCAATTATACAGTAAAATAAATAACACAATAAAAGTTATAAAACATATAAGCTAAATATATTGTTATCTATTTTTCCTGTAAACAAACTCACTCATATCAATTATATTAGTTTAATATATTTTTTCTTATAAGAACAGTTAAATAACGTGTAGTTTAAAACAACTTAGTGAATAATTATCATTTATTATGCATTAAATTATTATATAAATTTTTGACATGAATGCTAAAAAATATATTAATCAATCTTTAAATTAAAATTTATATTTTTTTATTTTTTTAAAATCCTTTATTAGTCATCTTAATCAATTACATTTTCATCATTATATTATTTATATTTGTTTATTTTCTTTTTCCTTTTTCCTTGAAGAAGTAATCTCAAAAGCATCATCAAAATATATTAATAAATGTACAATCTTTACCATTTTGTATCATAAAAATATAACATTTATCATTTTCTTTTTCATTTTGTATCATAAAATTACAACATTTACTATTTTTTTTATTTTTTTTTTTATCTTTGACATGCACGAATACAATATCATTCCCAACTAGTACTAAAATGGATTTTTTTTATCTGACATGCGCGAATACAATATCATTCCCAACTAGTACTAAAATGGGCGACTCCTAATAGACTTAATATTATTTTTTATTTATAATTATTTAATTCATTTCAATCATTAAATTCATTTATTTTTCGTTTAATACATAATAAAAATGAAATAATTGAAATAATAAAACAATCATTTTTTCCATTTAATGTTTTTTATTTTTTTAAAGAGCTTGTTCAATAGGTTTATAAAGGTGACGCTTTATGTCAAGTATAATCAAAATCAAGGTGATCATACATTATTCATTAAACACATGAGTTTATGAGGAGTTTTTTTTTTCTGTGTGTTGATGACATAATTTTTACGGGGATGATGAAAAGGAGGAGGCCCTTAAAAATTACTTGGCGACTGAATTTGTAGCCTGATCTCGACAAAATATCTTCATTTCTAATACATGTGGTTGACTTCTTGATGGAGATAGGTAAATTAGTGTGTAAATCTACTTCCACTCCGATTGATCTCAATCACAAACTTGGATAGGTTAAAAATGACACGGTAGTATATAAAGAAGGGATCAGAAAATTGGTTGGGAAGTTAATATATTTGGCACACACCCAACATTGCCTTTGTAGTGAGTGTAGTAAGTCTGTTCATGCACAACCCTAAAGAAAGTCACCTAAAAGCTGCAAACCGAATACTTCAGTACCTGAAAGCTAATCTAGGAAATGAAGTTATATTCAAGAAAGATTGGCTAATTCCTAAAGCTTACACTGATGTCAACTATGTAGGATCTTTGGTTGATAGACGTTCAATAACAGGTTACTAAACGTTCTTAGGTGGTAATCTGGTCACATAGAGGAGTAAGAAATAAAATGTTATAGCTTGTTTAAGTGAGAAGTGGAGTTCAGGGCTATGGCTCAAGGTATGTGTGAGTTATTGTGGTTAAAGATTATCCTTGAAGATTTCAAGCTAAAGTGAGTAAACTCTACGAGACTATTCCGTGACAACAACTCTTCCATCAATATTTGCTCATAATCCAGTACCACATTATAGGATAACTCATCTCGAGATTGATAAACCTTTTATGTAGGAGAAGTTAGACAACAAATTGTTTTGTACTCTCTATGTGCCTACAAAGGAATACCTTGCGGATGTGTTTATAAATAGGCTTAATGGCGATGACCTCTCAACAATTATATGTAAGTTGAGAATGGATGATATTTCTTTTCCAGTTTGTGGGGGAGTGTTGGAAAGTGAGCAACTATTTTAGCAAAATTTTAATTTAGGAATATAATAAATCCCTTGATAGGAGGATCCAATTCAGAAATAGAATAATTCCCTTGATATGGGGATCTAGTTTAGGAATAGAACAAATCCTTAGATACAGGAACCTAATTGAGGAATAGAATATTATAGTTTTATTATTTGCTCATTTCCTGTTTGCTATATATATAGGCATAGTACATTGTGTATATATTAGTAAATGTGCATGATGAAAGATTCGTCTGAATTTCACTCCATGCTTTTTGAGAGGTCAATGAGATATGATGAGTATTTTTAAAAGTTTAAGAAGGGATTATTTGACTTTAAATGGAACGTTTTTAGATACACAGATAGATTTTAGAATGATTAGTAGTGATTTTGGGTTTGACCATTAATTTTTCTATAATGTGGAGGAGAATAGCACATGGTTGGGATTGGAGAGCCAACAAGAAAGAAAGGTGGAGAGAGAGAGAGAGAGAGAGAGAGAGAG